ATAACCATGGTGACTCCATACCAGGGGTGTCCCCCTGACCGCCTGGGGGTATTAGAAACCTGAGGCACCCATGAGAACCCATGTGTGGCTTAGAACTTTCATTAATAGTTGTGAATCACTGTGTTTTCCAGGGACATAAGGCAATATGCTACTTGAACACGGATTCAACGTGGCCTTTCAATTCCCTTTATAAAGCAATCCTGAATTGATTTAACCAGTCAAAGCTCGCATGGCTTAGTGGTAAAGCGCATCACTAGTAATGATGAGATCCTCGGTTCGACTCCGAGTGTGAGCATTTTTTGCCTTTTCTGTCTATGAATGAATGTATCTCGATTTGCAACGGGTGCTTTTTTTTGGCTCTTTCTACCTCATTCAGCTCATGTCTCTCGCGGCGAAGTAGGCAATGCGCCAATTGGGGTGTGCGTGAGTTATTATACCTATGGGCATCACGTTTAGGTACCGCGAGACCTGGAAAATGAACCTAGAGGTGCATTGATGAATCAGTGTAGAAGTGAAGGGTTATTACATATATGCTATGAGCGAAACGGAATGAAACTCCTGACCTTTGTGTTTTTTTTTTTGTTCGATGAGACTTATGTTGTAGCTGAACAGCATTCGGTATATTAGCGGCTGGGTCTAGATAGCCGTGAAAGTAATGTTGGTATATCGCTTCATATCGTTGCACAGCAGGGCTGAACAGTGGTTTTCAATTAAAGAAATCTATTTCTTTCTTCTTTGTAAAATACCTACAAGATCTAGAATATAGCAGAATGTACTATGTGTACAATTTGTACTCTGTACAAACCCACTAGATATAGCCTCTGTGCCCACGTCTATCAGGCAACTTGACAGAAAGCACTTTCACGATACGTTCGTCGATGGGTCTTGACTCGCTGGTCAGACTATTTCTCATTAGAGGCCTGGGTGTGGGGAGCTTAAGGAGATGTTCAGGTCCCGGCTCGAGTTATGACAGGCCTCTACCACTGAGCTCAACGATGATACGGTGTACATATATATATATGCGGATTGCGAGTCGATTCGCGGACAACTAATATCATATCCAACATGTCCAAGTATGTATACATATCAGATCTGATACAATGATCAAATGTTACAATTGCAATCCTTCAAGCATATACATACCCAATAGCCCGGTATTGTGCGTAGTTGACAATTTCTCACTATCGGGAGTGAGCGGAGACTATAAATGGTAGCCCAGAGGGTGTTCGCATATTACTGCTTTGATGGCACCTTCGTATCTAGAACTGTTTCTTGCTCCTCCCCCCTACTTTTTGTTGGCTCACCAGGACTATATTAAATTTACCTTGAATACCTAATATTATTCGAATGATGTGATATACCCACAGTTAGTGGAATAATGGCCTCTGAAAACGACACAAAAATCCCAATGCGGACATTAAAAGTGGGTCTTGCCCTAAAAGAATCTGCGTCCACTTATAATGCACATTTTGGCAAATTCTCACAATAACAAGGCCGGCTGGCCCAATGGCAAGGCGCTTGACTACGAATCAAGAGATTGCAGGTTCGATCCCTGCGTCGGTCAATTTTTTTGGTCTTCTGGCCTTCTTTTTGCTCCATTGTTGGTCGAGATGTCAAAGTGGTGGTTGAACTACATGGGGGGTGAGTGGTGTGGCTGGGTGGCGTTCTTAGTTTTTTGGGGGTGATTGCTGATTTACCAAGAGCAGGAACAAAATTGAATCATGGGAAATGAGGTGTCTCATTGCGTTTAGATATATGGAATATTCTAAAAGTCTGATATTGCATTACTGAGTGGCGTGGAGGTCGCCGATATATGTTCCGTTATAGTAAAACATCCAGAAATCATATTGTGAACTGATCTATTATTGCAAATAATCTCACCAGAGCGCCTTTGGTTACCACTAGTTGTTAAAACTCCATACGCAAATAAATGGTGGATAACATGGATGGGGAGAGCGATGTTTGTGGATTCGTACCCAAAGTTGTCGCCAGGCGTGACATATTAATGAAAGAAAGAGGCTTGTTGGCCCCCATGGCGTACTCCAGATATAATACCCTTTGGTTTTTTCGAATGGCAACAGGAGTAGAAGGCAGGGTCCACCTCAAAAAACCATCCGAGCGCACTAGGGACCTCGAAGAGATATTTTATCACCCCAAAGGTATGGGATGGGTCTAGATTGGTCAGAATATACGTCGTACAACGTCGCTAATCCCCTCTACCAAGACATAAACAAACTTATACACCAGGAAATAGGTCCGCTGCAATTATATGAGCGCCTTAGCTCCTATACAGTTCCCCAAATTATGTACATATAGGACGGCAAAGAAGTAGCCGAGTCGGAGAATTTTGAATGCGATATAAGTGATCAGTCATCGAGCCCACCCTTGATCTTCTTGGCATCTTTTGAGTTCTCGGACTAGAGCCGCATGACCACAGCCAACCTGCAATCATTTTCTAATCAGAAATGGTGTCCCAGCTTCTAATATGGAAAGCCAGGGGAGGAATAAACACCAACAAGAATATGTTGATCTTTCTAATCGAGAAAATCAGGATCACGTCTTACAGGAGTGGAACTACATCTGATACATCGCTGAGGAAAGAAGTTGAGGACCCTCGACTAATCCATAGACATTAGTTTTTAGAAGCAGTACAGTGGATATATAGATAACTTCCTTTGCTCAGTGTACAAATAGCTCAGACACGATAGTTTATTTAGCCTCATTTCTCTCGTTATCACTGAAAATATTCGAACTGTGTCCGTTGTCACAGGGCGCTCAAACCGAACAACCTAACGGGAAAACGGCAATCTTAATATTGGGCTACTTTTCAACGTTGATCCTATTTACCTGGAATTTCCAACAAATTAATCATCGTACCAAAATGGACCAGAAGAAGACATTACGCATCTACGATCTGGCTAGTGATCTATATACTAAAGTGGATCTGGATAGAACGCCATGGACATCCAATATTCCAAGAAACAGAAGCTTACGTGTATAATAATTAATACAAGTAAATATCCGACACATGAAGCAATCAATCACTTATAAAAGGGAAAGTACATTAATTAACGGTTGATGCTCGCCTGGGCACGCCCTTGATTTGACAAGCACTCGCACCACCTGCCTGTTCGGGCAAAGGATAAGCGGGTATCTAGAACTCTCGGGGCCGCATTCCGACCTCGAGGGACCATCCATATAAAACCATTTTAATCCGCATCGATCAGAACAAAAATTTGCTTCTAAACAACAATCCGAATCCAAATCCCAAATTCCCTTCCCACCCACACAACATGGAATTCCCACAACCCCTTCAAGCACCGGGGCCCATCAGACCAATAACCTGTGTCGAAATGCACACAGCAGGCGAACCAACTCGAATTGTTTGGAATGGTATCCCACCTTTAACAGGCACACTTCTTGAACAACGAGCGCAAGCAAAATCACAATTCGACGAATTTCGCCGTGTTCTCATGCTCGAACCGCGCGGCCATTACGACATGTACGGCGCGATCTTACGTCCAGAGACCGAGCTCGTCAGCTCGGGAAAAGCTCACATAGGTGTTCTGTTCATGCACAATGAAGGGTTCTCGACTATGTGCGGACATGCGACGATCGCGCTGGGTCGGTTCCTTGTCGATGTTGACGAGAAGGTATTTCCTCGTCGGAAGGAATTGAAACATGATTCTGCGTCCCAGACAACGACTCTTAATCTGCATGTGCCCTGTGGAGTGGTCGAGATTACTGTCCCCACTTTGGCGTGTGGGAAATCGGATGCATCACGGCCTGTTTCGTTCGTGTCGGTGCCGTCGTTTGCTACGGCTATCTCCTTGCAGGTCCCTGTGCCCGAGAAGTATCGTTGGGCCGAGCTCCGTGGCAAGACTGCTGTTACGGCGGACTTTGCTTATGGGGGTGCGTACTATTGTATGATTGGTGCCGAGGAATTGGGATTCCCTGGTGGTCTCGGTGAGGCTAAGTTGCAGGATATGGATCGTGCGACGAAGTTGCTCAAGGATGCGGTGGTTACAAATCCAGATTTGCAGTATCTCACTCAGGATATTCGAACTGCCGAGGAGGGGTTCTTGTACGGGATTATGATCACGGATACCCGACTGGGACATGTTAGTGCTTCGGAGGGGACAGCGGCTAGTCGTGCGCAGCTGGATGTTAGTAGCGAGGAGACGGGGCTCTGTTTCTTTGCGAACCAGCAGATTGACCGGTCTCCCACTGGAAGCTGTGTTGCCGCGAGAGTGGCTCTCGCACATGCCAAAGGATCTTTGCCTGGGGGTGAGAAGAGGATCTATAACTCCCTGGTGACTCGTGCATATAGAGGTCTTTCTGGGTTTGTTGGGTCCGTCTTTGATGATGCCGGCACAGGAGGAGGTGACCAGCGGAGTGTTCGAGTCTGTGTCGAGGGATATGCGTATTATACCGGATATCATTCCTTTGTGGTAGAGAAGGAGGATGGCCTTGGGGTGGATGGATTCTCTGTGAGGGATATTGCTTTGTAGTGGTCATTTGAAGTAGTGCAATATAATCTTTATACCTGCGTTTGTCCGATTTGATAAATTGAAGTTTGCCTACCTAGGCTCTTTGGGGAATGGGCCTGTGGCCAAGCTGGCGACATGGCGCTGTCACAAGCGACAAGGCGCTGCCTACCACTGGACCTCCTCTTTTTGGTTATTCTTTTGTCGTAAAGGCCTACCGTTCGTTTGTAGCCGTGATGTGGGTTTTTCTTTGCCCTCCCTTTCTGTCTACCCCGGATTGTTTGCCCTAGACGTGTATAGATAGACGCTCCACTCTCTCCAGGTCAACAAGGAAAATCTCCGATGCCGACATGACCAGTATTAGGTCCAGTCTCATTATTGGTCTCGTAAATTCCTACTATCATCAACCTGCCTCATGAAATTTATTTTGCACTGAAGGCGTCAATTATCAAGAATCACTACAGATACTCAAATACTGTTATTTTACGAAAGAAACGTGAAATGACTGTAAATGTGACAAAAAAAACGAGCTTGTTCTTGAAAGGAAACTGAGACAAAATATTGTACATCGTGTGTGGGGGATGGACAAGGCGTAAAACAAAAAAAATTCTAAGGGTAGTCTCTATAATCCTCCCGAGCATATTAGACTCGAGTCATTTATTTACCGATCTCAACACCACCAGTGGCACCGAGCATGCGCTTGATGTCACCGTAGATGGCGAACTGACCGGCGGTGATGGAGCCAACCATGAAGAGACGGGCACCGATACCACCGTAAGAGCCACGGATACCGAGCTCTTTTCCGATCTTGATCAGACGAGTGACGGTACCCTCACCAGGAGCACCCTGGGTCTTGTTGATCTTGGAGAGCATGGTGTCAGCGGGCTGGGAGATGATGGCGGCGGCGAGACCGGCGATGAGACCGGAGCCGAGGTTGATACCGGTCTTGCCAGAGTCGGAGAGAGTCTCCTTGTTGACCTTGGCGAGGATGGCCTCGGAGACCTTCTCGAAGACGACGAACTTGGCCATGGTGTAGGGGACCCTAGAATCGAGTTAGTGGGAATTATACGAAACATGCACACGAGTGGAAAACTTACTGCTTGAACAGGATGGGTCCGAATCCGGAGTAGAAGGCACCGATACCCTCCTCCTTCATGATGCGGGTCATGGCAGGGAGGAGACCGCTAGCGAAGGTGGGCTGGGAGACAAGACGGATACGGGTGGCCTCGAGAGGGCACAGGGCGATATCGGCAATGAACTCAGCGGCACCGGCGGAGGCGAGGTAGACGGCGGTGCGGTTGTTCTTGGCAGTCTCGTAGCCAAGGGCGTTGATGGACTGCTGCTTGAAGAACTCGTATCCACCGAACTTGAAGGCACCCTGGAGGAAGTAACCGGCGGCGGTAGGACCGAAACCAGTCAGGAGAGCGCCAGCACCCTCGTTCTGGATGACCTGGCGGAAACCACCGAGCATACCGCGGTTGTAGGTGACGGGGTCAAGCTGGATACGGGTCTTGACGCTGTGGAGGATCGGATATGAGCGGAAATTCTTGATCGCGCGGCGATAGTTTCAGAGACTTACACATCGAGAGGAGTGGCAGCACCGTGAGTGATGGCGCAGCACATGGCACCAGCGAAGGCGAAGCGAGAGTACTGTAATCGAGTTAGGTTTAAAGTATGGAGTTTCAGGGTTCAAGACTTACGAGGTTGAGAGCACTCATCTCCTCCTTGGGGGCGATAGGGGCGGCCATTTTGTTGGATATGAAATTAACGCAAAGAAAACCGTTAAGAGAGGAGAGGGTGGAGGAATTGAAGCCTTTGGGGGAGTGGAAGAGAAGAAGGAAAGGATTTGAAAGGGATGGGGCCGAACCCGAAAACTTTTCGCGGCCAATGCGGGAGTCGCTCGGCAGCCACTAACCTCCGATCGCCCGGTCAACCGTAGAGCGTTCTATTCGCAATTCAGTTTTACATCAATTGTTATTAGTGATCTAATTATCAATTCCAAATTGAGGTTAAAATTGGTCATTAGACGTCATTTCTAGTTTGGTGGTTTGGAACCCGTTGCCGGAAATAGGCGGGATGAGGAATCGTAAAGGGATTTGATACCCGTATTTCAAGCTAGCTTTGGATATTAGTTCTGATTGGATTTAATCGAGTACATGGAATGAACTGTATACGGAGTACGTAGTATAACTACATATGGAGTACAATAATATAAAAAAAAGGATTGCAATATCAGACCCACGAAAGATCACAGCCACATCTCTCTCCCTACGTCACAGTGGACACGTAGACTGACATGTCAAGGTGGATATTTGCGGCCATGGAGCCTATTATCTATAGTTTCATCCTGATATCAACCTTGGAACTATATGATTTATATATAGGCCATATTTTAGACTATCACCTAGTAGAAGATGATTAGTAGTTCTATAATTCATGATATAATCAACTTTTGATACACTATGTGCCCTATGAAGGTATCTATTACTGGATCCAAACCAACATTAGAACCTTGGAAAGGCTGTAGATGAGATCAAGATTCAGAAAGAAAAGCCTATATACAAGTATTAACGGCTTTGGAGGCAAGAAGATATGGCCATTTAGCCTCTCGCATCTATACATATCATACGTACTTTTTCGGTACATTCTCGGGGTTTCGCAACGTCTTCGCACAGTTTTTCAAAATTTTATCTTTTAGTCATAGCTAAAATAACAGACAAAACTAAGAGGCTAGAGCCGACGAACAAATTAACTTCCCGGTAACAAAACTAAGGCATTCAGAACTCCATGTTGTGGTGGCCATAAATGCCTCCCGTAGGACCTTGGCTTAGCGCCCAGGACTATCAACCTACTAGAATTTTAGGTGAAGCTATGCAACCTTGAAAATCAGAACCAATGAGATCGACAGATAAAGGCCACGAGGCCACTATATGACCAAGTTTCACGCTGAGTGATAAGAGACAATAAATCCCTGAAACTCGAGTCTAGAAAATTACAACACTGCAGCCCTTTATCATATACGAAAATCAATTCCCGATCAACCATCTCCCAAAATGGCCGCCATCACAGATGATATTTTTGCCCCTCGATTTGCTATTCTGCAAGATCTGTTCAGCGACAATATCTCTGCACAGCAAGCCGCTGAATATTTGGCTTCAATCTCAGTGGCAGACGACTCCGATCGAGAGGGAGGAATTAGCAGCCTATGGAGCTTGATATTCAAGTGTGCATACAAGTTTCCCGAGCACCATGATAAACTCATCAATATGCTAGTCCAACTGTCAAAACTCCCGGACGCGAAAACATCAAATGGAGACCCCATTGTGCTCTACGACATGCAGGTCTGGAAAGACTTACCAATGCTTGGGTGGCAGGTCCGCGACGAATGGAATGCAAGTGTACCTACTGGACCTCCTGAGACTCGTCAAAATGCAATCTTGCAAATTATCAACCGGGACAAATTCACCGCACGTTTGATGGCAACACAAGAACCTGTCTTTGCATACTCCTGGTTTGCATTGATTACCCTGCGCGAGGCACTGGAAACACCAGCAGACCAATCCTCTGCGGGGAATCTAGAAGCATTGATTCCTGCTGCTGCTGCGTGGATCAGTATTCTCGGGGCAGACATCTATCAGTGGAATGAAAGGTTTGATGGTGCTCTCGGGAAAGGAGGCCCGCTCTGGAAAGGTCAACATGGGTTTTCTAAGGAGAGGTGGCAGCTTTGGAAGGAAAGATTTGGGGAGCTGGTTGCCATAGAAGTTGAGATTGGAGACGAAGTGAGAACGGCAGCAAAGGACGCAAAGCGGATGATGGAGGAGATTGAGAATTGAGAAATGGAAATTCTATCATATCTTTATCAATATAGAAGTTCTCTAGGACCGTCTCTTAGCAATAACATAAAAGATTATCAAAAAGGTCATTTGGCCGCAATAGTCGCATTAGCCACATCTCCACTATGTTTTATAATTTGTTACCAGCCAAGGCCGCCATTTTGAGGCATTCCCACATTGGGCGCTTCCATTAGTCATGTTACAGGGATAGCTGCTTTTGCACGAATAATAGACCTTACGACCCTTGGAACACAGTTTCTTTTAGTCATTGTGGCAAATGGTGTGATTGGCTATTCCCCGAGATGTTTGTACTTTGTAGATCTTGCTCTACCTAAATCAAAGGTTATAGAGTCTCTTACATAAATGCTTTTCTTTCCTCCTTTTTCTACAAGGAGACTATCTTAAAGACATATATATTGTAAATAGAATATTTGAGACTACTAAAAAGACTAAACAAGGCCGCATACGCGGCGCTCTGGTCTTGTCTATTGTAGATCGAGATCCACGCATCAACTTTTGTGACACTGATTCATCGCATTGACCATTTTGTCCAAAACTCACCGGGGAGATAGTTCTAGGATAGTTGACACAGTGCAGCATGCAGCTGCAATGGCCTGCATAAATAATATTCTATGCAGAGGCAAGCATATGAACTATTCATCTATGTCAATATACTATGTAGGAAGATGTATGTTAATCAAAGCATTTATCTCATCTTTCAAAACTAGAGTGTGTTTGCTTTTCCAACCAAACAAGCAATTTTTTTGAATCTTTACTAGCTCATGGATCTCGCGCAGCAGCTTAGGAACGACAGCATTTGGTCGAGATTTGTTGTTCTGGACCATTTCAGGTCTTAGTGTTGTAGAGGAGAAAAATATTAGCATTTATCATATTCCCCAAAATCCAGGGCTAGGCGGAACTGACGAGTGATACTGACACAGCCTGCTGAGCCGGAAAAGGACCAAGAAGTGGCGAGAGATGGAGGGTTCTCAAATTCCTCATCTCTATGCACTTCTTGCTATGAACTAACGATCTCGATATTAAGTAGATGCTGTCGGACTTGATGGGAAGCAGTCGTCGTGGCCTTCCCCCGAAAACACAATCACGACGCAGGGCTTCGAATGGCACGTGCCAGCCGACCAACGCCATCGGCAGCGCCTCCGCAATGCAATCCCCGATCTAAAACACATCGGAGTCGACAACATCTGGATTCCCCCTGGGTGCAAGGAAATGAAGCCATCTGGAATTGAGTATGATATTTTCGATCTGTGTGATATTGGGGAACTCGACCGGAAGGGCACCAGAGCGACGCGATGGGGTCCAAAGGAAGATCTCCAAAGTTTAGTACGGGTAGTCAGTGTAGTCTTCTTGGGTGTGGCTTGGTGGTTCTTATAGTTATATAGGATTCGTGCGCTACGGGAACTATGAATACCCATTCGGTCTTGCTTGTATCGTTAGCAACGGGGGTGCATCTTACAAGCGCATGTTTGCGGGCCACAGACATGCTAGAGAAATGTGGACAGATGTTCTCGGTTGGGGGAATGAGACGGTACTCATTAATAACTTCGGCTATGAGTGTTAGTGTCTGGGTAAACTGGCGAGCGGATGGGAGAAATGCAATTAATCGGCCTTGATAAGTTCCAACCACTAATACCTGCTGGCTTCTAGTGTTTAGGAATCAATTATTGAAATACTAACTAGTCATTTCATATTAGCAACGAAAACATACACAGCCCGTAAGAATTTACGGGACAGAATATCCTCGTGGCTATCTGTGAATAGACACTCACTTATATTGAGTCTTAATCCTCGTACTTGTTGAAAGTCAGATCATAGTACATTCCAATTGGAATTGAGCAGGATTCAAGGAATTTTCGAGGCGCCTTGAGACTGCATTTGTAGTCTTCTCACCTCCATATCTTGCAGATGCGCATGGGGTACGGCGGGATATAGCGGGACATTTGACAAGATTGTGCCGGTAATTAGTTCAACATATGTCTTTTTACGTGTTTTTTCTTGCTGTTATAGGCATAAGGATGATTGGAAACGCATAGCCGCAAACTGTAGACTAACGGCGAAAAGTATAACTCCCATAAAATAACGTCTCAATATATCATATGCAATATTTGGAGTATTATGATAGATGGATCTATAGTAACAATATATCTTTAGATGTCCACGGGTTGTTATACTTGATGATTCTTTTGTCAGGTACTTTTGTACAAAGTAAACAACCTCGACTGTTCAACCAATCAAGATATTGAATGTGGAGCAGGTGCGTCCCGACGTCGGACATCACCAAACCCCGGACTCAGGACAAAAACTTTCGATGCCCACACACACACACACACAGTACTCAATTTATTTTCAAAGAATATTGTCCGGTAGGCTTTTTGGCTGCAGAAGACTCTTCCAGACCTTTGTTCTCATGACTTGTGGGAGGTCAGGGCAGATCGGCCAGAAAGCCGAACCCATCAGGACGCAACCGGAAATGATACCAGGGAATTTTAGCTTAGCCGACATCAGCCCAACATCCGAGAACTGAGTTGCCCAAGGGTTACAAATCAAAAGAGACAGCATACCCCTGAAACGGCGGCGTTTGCTTACTCTACAACAAATGTGGAGCGGTTTCGGATCCATCCTCCGAGAACAAAAATTGAACCGCTGTGTGGAATATCCCGTTCCCGTTTGTCCCCAGTATTGGCGCCCCCGCTGTAGGGAGCTTCCTACTAAAAATTGGGCTCTAGCTCGATCGGGTCAACTACGCTGCGCAAATTGCGCATATCATGGGAACAACTGCTCGTCAGCCCAATCGAGCTTGCCCCATTCGTCCTAACTTACATGACAGGGAAAGCTATCTGACGCAATTGCTAATGCAAGGCCAATCGATTGATCGGCAGGGTCTTCGCCCCTCATCACGC